CGGAACTGGAAACGGCCTGGGGGGACAGGGACACACTGGTTATACTGGGTATACTGGGTATACTGGTTATAGACTGGTTAGACTGGGTATAGATTGGATATAATGGTTATACTGGGTATACTGGGTATACTGGTTATACTGGTTATAGACTGGACACTGGGGGTCAGAAGGGACGGGGGACGGAACTGGAAACGGCCTGGGGGGACGGGGACACACTGGTTATACTGGGTATACTGGGTATAGACTGGTTATACTGGTTATAGACTTGTTATACTGGTTATAGACTGGTTAGACTGGGTATAGACTGGGTATACTGGTTATACTGGGTATACTGGTTATAGACTGGGTATACTGGGTATAGACTGGTTATACTGGTTATAGATTGTTATAATGGTTATAATGGTTATACTGGTTATAGACTGGTTAGACTGGGTATACTGGGTATACTGGGTATAGACTCGTTAGACTGGGTATAGACTGGGTATACTGGTTATACTGGTCATAGACTGGACACTGGTGGCCAAAAGGGACAGGGGGCGGAACTGGAAACGGCCTGGGGGGACACGGGAGGGACTGGTTAGACTGGGTATACTGGGTATACTGGTTATAGACTGGTTATAATGGTTATAGATTGGTTATAATGGGTATACTGGGTATACTGGGTGTACTGGTTATACTGGTTATAGACTATACACTGGTGGCCAGCAGGGACGGGGGGCGGAACTGGAAACGGCCTGGGGGACACGGGACACACTGGTTATACTGGTTATACTGGGTATACTGGTTATAGACTGGTTAGACTGGGTATAGATTGATTATACTGGGTATAGATTGTTATAATGGGTATACTGGGTATACTGGGTATACTGGTCATAGACTGGACACTGGTGGCCAGCAGGGACGGGGGGCGGAACTGGAAACGGCCTGGGGGGACACGGGAGGGACTGGTTAGACTGGTTATACTGGTTATAGACTGGTTATACTGGTTACAGACTGGTTAGACTGGGTATACTGGTTATAGATTGGTTATACTGGTTACACCAGTTACAGACTGCTAAGGGACTGGTTAAACTGGTTACACCAGTTAAACCAGTTAGAGACTCTTAAGGGACTGTTTAAACCAGTTAAACCAGTTGGAGACTGCTTAGGCACTGGTTAGGGGCTGGTTATACCAGTTAAACCAGTT